ATGACTAAACTCTAGGTGACTAACTCTAGATAGTGGTGAAAATTAAAAGATAATTATGAAAACTAAAAGCCTTATTACATAATTAAGAACTAAATTAATTATAAATGACATATAATCTATATTAAACTGAAACCAGCCATATTCAATCTTCATCATTAATGAAGATAGAGTATTCATCAATAATTTTAGTCATTATTTTAATTTTACTCTTTATCTAGATTTTAGTCTTTACTTAATTTTAGTTATTAATTTAAATAATTGTTGTAAGCCTTATTAATTTAAATAATTGTTGTAAGCCTTAATGGCAGTAGATACTTTTTGAATTAAAATAAAATATTAATTGTTGAGGTTTTCTTCAATTTTTTAAATTTTCGATATTTGATATTTTAAATGAACAAGTTTAATTTCTATAGATTTGTGTGTGAAGAGTTTTTTGATACTTAAATTTATGGTATTCTTAAGAATAAATAGAAACTAAAAGGTGAAAGTGTTGCAGTATTCGTTTGGAATCAACAAAGTTTGATAATGTCTTTGTTTTATTATTTATTGAAATAACGAAGTTCGACCTAACTAATACCTAGAGGAGGGTGAATAAGTGTTTGTACAGAGTTTAAATTTACCAATTAATAAATACAACAAGTCACAGTTATTAATTAATTCAGATGAATTCACAAACATAACTATCCTATGTAGAATTACCGCGGTTAATAAAATACTGAAAAAATAAATAACACTTCAAAATTGATGACGGAGAAAACCCCTAACGGGGTAAAAACTCCTGGCCCAACCCAGTAACAATCAACTATAAACGAATCAACTTACAATACTGTCAGACTTGACTAACTCTAGTACTTTCCGACCTCCTGACTGTAATCACCAAAGTCCTCTTGGATTGAGTGCTCCTGCACCAACTCTCGATATTTTGAATTTGTCTATCTCATGTGAATCAATAAGAACTCCTCGTTCTCTAACAACCAGAAACTCTGGTTACATTCCTTGATCTTCAGAACTCTAACGATGTTATGGAAGTACGTGTTTTGGTGTTTAGTTTATGTGAGGTTGATGTTTTTCAATGTAAAGATAAAATCAATATGAAAGTTAAACTCTAGGAATGATATGGAGGAAGTAATCACTTGTTTATCTTAACGTTCAACTCTTATTTTTTCAAATGGTGGCGTGCATATATATATAGTGTAGAGGTTTTGGCTAGTATATGCCAGATAAAAGCCTTGGAAAACACAAATTAAGTTTTCTCAGGACGCGATTGACGGTGTGTCACTCGAGTGAAATCCCAGCGACGGCAGGCGACACAACTTATGTTTTTACCTCTCGAGCATCAACTAGGTGACATGCTAGCGAAATTGCGGAGACTCTTTTCCCTTCGTTCCATACTCGAATTCTAGGACTTCTAACTAACCACTTGACACTTTGACTTTTTAAAAACTCTTTTACAACAATAGTTTTGTCAAAAAATTGCCAACAACTTTAAAACCTAACATTTATCACTGTCGACATCCTATATCAAGCTTCCTCGCTATCCATTAAAACATTATGCTCGTGTTCAGCCGTTATTTAAAAAAAAAAAAAAACGAAAAAGTGTATGATCTAAAACCGCAGTTACTCACAAATATATCATAATTTATCAATTCTTAATTTGCATTGTCGAATATATGGTAGCCGATTTATTTATTTTTGCTGTTTGGTGATCTATTTCTTCTTTTTGGGCTATGGTACTCTTGAATCCAACTGTTTTTATACATCTTTTTAACTAAAATCTTTTTTCCCTGAGAGCCTCTCAAGTTTATTTTCAAGTGGTCAAATTTCAAACGAATTGAATTGACTTCAGGAACTGACCACGTTTGGAAAGTGATTATAATTGAATTACTACCGATCAAATATGCATTTTATTCCCTCATTTTGTAGAATCCATAAGTTAATCTCCCTTATTATCTACACATTTTTTAGAATCCACAACTTATCATCACTTAACTTAATCCCATCCCAAACATGCACTGAATCAAATTTCTAACGTCTAAATGAAAATTGCACTTTATTACTATGTAATCCAGCAACTACTGGAGTCTGGAGAACATGGAAAAATGCATCTTCGGTTAAAAGTTATAAATACGTGAGTCGAAAGACAAACTACTTAGATCTAAAAGGCGTCTCAATCTGTCTTAATAATTATAAGATTTATGTTAGAAACGGGACGAAGTTATATGGCACGATATGAAGTATTGTTCACAATAACAAGATGAATACAAAGACAAGAATTTAATTTAACAGAGAAATTGGAGATTTCATTCAACAACTATAATGGAGAGAAAATACAATAATAGTATTCCTACACAATGATTCTAACTTTCAGTAATACAAAACTTATAAAGAAGAGTCTACTATTTATAATTATGCATGTCAAACCCTAGAAATAACCCTGAAGATGTAAACTAGGTAAATAAATCACGTGAAGGAAAGAAATATGGAAAAATTCGGACTACCCAGCATTCTAGCGTTAGTCGAGTCTCAGTCAAGTGAAACGCTCACTGTTCCAAATCTCGCTCTATCGCTTGAGCGATAAGTGAGCATTATTCTGGCGCCATGGAAACCTATTTTTCCTCTTGAACCCTATTTTGATGTCTTCAAACTTAATACTCCAAATCATGCGTACCCTAATCAAATTTGAGTCACAAAATCCAACAATCTCCACCTTGATACAAATTCTGTTGCAAAGAACAAGACTTAAAAATTTCTCCACTTGAAGAAAACATTCAACTACAACAAATAAACGAATTGTTCAACAAGAACCAAACTTCTTCAATGAACCAAAAACTTCACACCTCTTCCAAGATATCCAACTAGGATAGATGAATTTAAACAATTGCGGTAAGATAGATGAATTTAAATAATACTCTGCAAAATTACCTCGGGTTCAACCAAAAATCATAAATGATTAGAAATTACCAAGCAGGGCCGAAACACATTCTGAAATAGAATCAACGCAAAATATTTTATAGAAGGCCCCTTACTAGATTGAACACCTTCAAATATACTTAAAGCATGTGCAATAAAATCAGCTTCCCCGTGCCTATCTCCACTAGGTCTGTCCCTACTTGTCCCTAGATGAATTGAACTACGTATAATTTTGCAAATATTGTATTCGATCTTGTCAAAGAAAAATGTAAAAAGAAAATCAGTGACTCTGGAACGTGGAATCAGAACTGAGAGGAGATGGAAGAAACTTTTGGCATCAAAGAATATGCGAGGTTTGCATCCTTTTCTACGTATACAACTTTTTCTCCGGTGGGGCCCACTACTCATAAACTTCCTAGGCAGCTCCCCTTTTTCTAAGAAGATAATGTATTTTATTTAATTTTCTTTTAACATTTCCGGCTAAAACAAACTAAACTAGCAACCGGGGTTATTACGCAAAGTTAGATTTAAGATTGAAAATATAAATTATTTGCATCACATCTTATGTTTTGATCAAGTTATCTTATGTTTCCATCAATTTTGATCTAATGTCTATCGTGGACGTACATGTAGTGTTCGATGGCAGTATAACACATATCCACCTTGAGCATTGGATCATTTCTGATGGAAATAAATGTAATAATTAACGTTTAAAACTTTTAGTTGAAGGCTTTTACTCAAACTTTCAATATTTACGAGTTTTACACAAAAACATATTTGCTTGCATCGGTCCGTTTTACGCATTAATTATATGTGTATAATGCATATATATTAATGTCACTTTTAATCAAAATTTGACATTATCGAAGATAGAATTTAGAATAAAAGTTTTAGTAGAGAATTTACCAGCTATTCGAGTCTCTCACACTCCATGGTACATGAATAGTAAATTTTCAAATGCACCATTACTTGCCTTCGGCAAAGACAGAACTATTGATTGAAATAACCTTTTGTTCTTGATAATTTTATGAAATCTTACACACTAATGCGAGTAAAAATTCATTCAAATAATCAAATATTATGCACATGTGCACAACACACTTATTATATCCATAGGTACAAAGAAAAACATTAACAACTACATTACAGATAGTTCGTTAACCGATATGTTTTTTTTTTTTTTATATTTTTAAACCTTTGGGTGGGGGATTAAAATCATTTTTTTAGTAAATTTTAATAGAAGTTGAGAAATGTATGGTTGAAAAGTTGTCGATCTAATGAAATGTGATTAAAATTAATTTTTGACTGAATTAAAATTTTGATTTTAATTTTCATCAAACGGGAGCCAAATAAAATTATTGTGGGTCTCAAAAGGCCCCCTTCCCTCTGGCCTTAGGTGGTGGTGGTCGTGGGTTGGGATTGCGGTAGATAATGAAGATGTATATTTTCCAATTTTTGCTTTTCTGCTTTCCGTTTATTTTCCTAATATCCTTTTCTTCCATTTTTTATTAAGGCTGAGGATAAATTGGTCTTTAAGTAAACTTAACAGCCATTTTGGACTATTTTGTTAGCAAGGACTACAGTGCCAAAAAAATAACCATGAAAATAAATTTGAAGATGATAGAAATGAAAGACATAATATATAAAGTATAAAAAAAAGGTCGGTGTACAGAAAACAACATACAAAATAGATACAGAATACTCACAGCAGGGGGTGAGTTTTTTTTCAATATTTTACTCACCCCATGTGAGTGTGACAATTTTCTGTAAAAACAAAAGGAGGTAACTATTGGGAACAGTCACTCTTAACTTCTTGGGTTATGCTATGGGAACGTGACACCATTTCCCTAACTTTTTCTTGCTTATTTTCTTGATACTATTATATCATACTAGCTTGAACTTCTCTTTCCACGAACCATCACCACTTGACAACTTTCACCGTGTTAATTGTCCTCACCGTGTTGTATAATTTACCCAACCACGCCGAGACAACTTGCTTATATACAAGTCAATCTCTCTTGCATTCACCTTTCTCATCTCTTTCTTTGTCTTATAAAAAAGATAACAATGGGTTATTGGTATATAGATCTATGTCCATTTCTCATTGTTTTGCTCCATTTCTCATTGTTTTGCTTGAGAAGCTGGCCTCTGGTGAGCTTCTGGAATTTCTGCGTCGTCTAGGAATCGATGCCCAGCTGAAAGAATGGTGCACAACCTTGTTGATGATCCAGGCCGTGCTTACCGATGCCGAAAACAAGCAAAGAAGTAACGCAGATGTGCATGAGCGGCTGATGGATCTAGAATCGTTGGTTTATAAACTTGATGCCTTGGTGGATAAGTTCATCACTAAAGCTTCACTTGACAAATCAAGGGAAAATGAAGGCAGCACCAGTAAGGTATGGAAGCTTATCCCCACTTGTCGTACTAATATTTCTGTCGATAATTCCATGCTTGATCGCCGGACTGCTTCCAAGATTAAAAATATTAGTTCCAAGTTGGAAGGTCTATCAAAAAGGATTAGTACGCTCAGTTTGGTGGAGAATGTGAGGGGAAGGCCTTACGGAACAGGAGAAAGATTCCAAATAGCTTCGTTTACAGAAGAATCTGAAGTAGTATCGGAGGCCTATTCCCTTTCCTAGATCGGTTTGGACAGGGACCGATTGGGGGGGGGGGGCGCTGGTCCTAGCCCATTTAATTTTTTTTAGTAGAAAAATAAAATTATGTAATTTTAGTTTTTTTTACATATTAGCCCATCCTGTAATCCGATCTTGAATCCGTCCCTAGGTTTGTAAGTATTTTTATTTTGGAAATTGTTGAAAATAAGATTTAAAGACATAATTTTGTTCTTTACCTAACAATTTAATCAAGTAGTTAGACATAGTATCTACTGATGTAAAATTTTAAGATCAAGACTCGTCGCTATTTTTGAAAATTAAGCGCGTATTTAGCCTGTAGTAAAAATAAATAATTTTTTGTGATTAGAGTCCTATTTACCGGGGATATATTGTTTTATGAATTGACATAGGAAAAAAGCAATAAAGAAATGCCATAAGATATATGAGAAAAAAGATTATGATCGTTCTTCTGTAGCTAACTGTGAAGAGTCTACAGAAATTGCATTATAATTGTTTATTTCGATTCCACCACCATATGATTTCTCAAGAAATTTGGAGAACCCAATTCTACCAACCTAAGACAGCTATAACATAGGTTTAGTGATCTTGCAGTGAGTGATGAGTGAAGGGAGAGAGGGGGCGAGGAGCAAAGGTGCTCACTACTTGAGTGGTGCTAGTTTAAGTTAGGTATACTTAAAGGATAAACCGCATCCTTGGAGGCTCCCACATGTCCTGCCCTACCCTGAACCTTGATGAAGGAGGTAAATCGCAGATTATGCCTCCAAGGATATAGGGTGGAAGGTTGCTTGTACATTTGTACTTACCCAATAGCCAAATCCATATTTCAGGATTCGAATCCTTGACGTGGCAGCTTCAAGCAAAATTGGAATTTTTCCACCTTCCCCTTTTATCACTTGGAGATGTGCCATGTGGGCCTTAAGTCAGGTATATCGTGTGATGTAACATTAATGATAATGTCAATAAAGTGAATTTCATATTAATACATTTAATTGGCATTTTCCTCACACACACACATAACATCACCTCACCATCACATGGAATAATTCGTAATTTGTATGTATAGATAACACAATGAAATTGTCCAAGTGTCCCATTTTTCTTTTAATAAAAATGAGGTTTTTTTTCCCCCAACAAATCAACAATTTGTTATCAAAGTGACGTTGATGATGAACGAATTTTTCAAGTTTCTTGAGATCGTACACAATTTGAGATTATGAATTGAACTCTTTTTTCTACATACTGATTATTTTCAACCACACATTCACACAATAAAATATTTTGCAAATAAATCTAAATTTTTGTCTACTTGTTAACTACACATTCTCCTAAAAATCACTATTCAAAACATTATTTTTTGAAAATAATGACCACCAAACAAGGGCTAATTTTGCTTGACAATGAATAGGTTAGCAAAGTCGCAATGAGCAACTTACAAGCGATAGATAGAATTAAGGAGCACAACAATTTAAATTATACCACATGGCAGACATGCATAGAATAATATCTCGAAAGGCCTATACTTGTGAGATGTAGTTAGTGGTAGTAACATGACACCATCGGAGGATGCCATGATTCTGAAAAATGGAAGATTAAATCAATGTTTTAAAAATTAGTTCGAGCCTCGACCTGAAAACAATAAAGGGTCAAGTGTCAAACGATTGAAATGGAGTTGATCCGGTGACAAAAATATTGAATAAAAATAAATATATCAGAATTTTTTTTAAAAAAAATTGAAATAGTGTGTTATCCATGGGTGTCTATGTTATTAAGTTGTTAAATATTTGGTAATATATTATAATAAATTAAGAAGGCCATTCTCTCCAACAAACTCCATTCTCATTTCTCAATAAAGAGCCAAAAATACTCGCTTTATACACATGAACGGTTTAGATTATTCGTGCTAATTATAAGTGTATAATGTATATATATTAATGTCACTTATAAAAAAAATAAAAATTAAGCCTCCGTTTCAATTAAAATCAGTTTTTTAATCAAAATTTGATAATATCCAAGATAGACTAGAATAAAAGTTCTTGTACATGCAATAGTGCTTGCCTTCTGCAAAGACGGAACTATCCTCAATTGAAATAACCAATTTTTTTTTATTTAACGGAAGGGTTAAATGGTAAACGGAGAAAAAGACACAAATAAAATGATTGCGACTCATGCAGCAATTCTGACTCTACTGCCCAGATATCATCTGCTAAAAGAGAGATGCTACACGTGGGGGACTGTGTCTCTCGGCATCAACAATGCTTGGTGTATAATAATTGAATAATGTTACATGTACATTATGGTACACATAATGGTGTCCATAATGTATATGTGGTGGCGCCCTCCTATTGGAGGAAGTGCCTGTGGGCCAGGTGCTCCCCCCAAAAGGAGGGCGTTACATGTACATTATGGACACTATTATGTGTATCATAATGTACATGTAGCATAACCCATAATAAATAGGAGGTGATTGTACAAATTGATTTTTCCCTCTGGCATTTGGGGAGGGGAATGGCACGTACAGGTTGCCCTGTACAAGTAGAATAATACCTGCTAAAATCAACTTTTTTCAGCCATAAATCTTACCTTGAGAAATAGAAATGGGACAAATAGAAAATTGTGAAGCCATATGAGAAAGATTCAAAGAAGAAAATGAGGATATAAAACGTAAAAATGGAGAGTAGATGATGCTGAAGTGGTGCAGTCTCACTTGAGTTTGAAGAGAAGCGATAATATGCAAAAGGGAAGCTAATATCAGAGACTTCTACAGGGTGTTTGATAAACAAAACGCTGTTGAATTTCAGGGGAAGGGTGCTGAAAAGTGAAAAGGTTGAGGAAGAAAATGATCGACGTGCTTCAAGAATACGTTCTGATGGGCAGCTAGAATCCATAGACTTTTACTGAAAGCTCAAACGGATGAAATAGTTGAAGCAGAAAAATCGTGAAAGCCATGTTCGATTTACTGGTTCCAATTAAATCAGGCGGGGGGGTTTACGATTTTTTTATGCAGTTTTTCAACCTTTGATTTTTGACATGCAACCGACTCGGTTCCGTCGTCGGTTTCCGGCTTTGACTGCTGAATCGATCGGTCCAATCCGATTCTGATAACATAGGATTAATGGATGTATAGGCCATGTGTGTGGTTAAAAAGACAATCAATGAAAAATTGCTGGAGCATGTAAGAGAAGCAGACACAATATTAAAGAAAAGTATGAGATGAAATTTTCGCATTTCCTCAAAGAAAAATTATCTAAAGTTGCAGCGTTTAGAGAACAAGCTATTCTTTTTCACCCGGGGAGAGATGAAGATCATAAACCGATACTTTAGTAAGGTAAATTTTATTAGACATTACAAGTAAAATTTCAGAATTGATGATGAGAAGAATTACAATTCATAGATTACAAGTACTCATCCCGGTGGTGGCAAATATCGTTTGAGGATAGCGATTCTTTATCATGTTTATCTTTTGATAGATTCAAGGTCGCTCGTTTTCTTGTTCTTCATACAATATTTTCAGATTGTTTTAGCTCTTATGTCATTTTGGAGCATCTTCAAAAAAACTCTCTATTTATAGAGTATCTTATGTATAATAAAGAGTTTCTTTAAATTTAGAGATTACATTTTTTATACATTCCAACAATATTCTTTTCGACTCTTCGGGTCCATTTGATTGCAAAGTTGGAAAATTGGTGGAAAGAAAATGTTTTACAGGGAATTGATTTTCCTAGAAAATGTTTTACTGGGAATTGTAATTAATTGTGTTTGATTGGTAAAATTTTCTATGAAAAATATTCTTTATCATGTTTATCTTTTGATGGATTCAAGGTCACTCGTTTTCTTGTTCTTCATACAATATTTTCAGATTGTTTTAGCTCTGATGTCATTTTGGAGCATCTTCAAAAAAACTCTCTATTTATAGAGTATCTTACGTATAATAAAGAGTATCTTTAAATTTAGAGAGTACATTTTTTATACATTCCAACAATATTCTTTTCGACTCTTCATTTTATCTTTTTCAGGAAACATTTAGCCCCCATTTAGTGAGAGTAAAATTAAATTTTTAACATATCTTAATAAAAATTAATAAAATTTATGGTTGAAAAGTTGTGAATCTCATTAAATACACTGTTAAAATTAATTGTTGATTTTATCTTAAAATAAAATCTAGATTTCAATCACTATCAAACATGGACTTGTTGATTTCTATGCATGTTTGCTCAACATATATGTCAACGGTCAATCAATTCAAATAAGATTTGAATAATTTAAGAAATAGTATATTGAAATTTGTAAATAGTATAAATTTGGTTCTCCGAATTTGTCCAAGCTAAATGACATGGGAAAATACAAAAGCATTAAACGTGACCATCCCACGTTTAAAAAAGACATTGGATTCTTAATACAATATCTCAAATTTGTATCTTGGTCTTCGTTTAAATATCCAGCAAAATACAAGATTTAGGAAAACGAAACATGGGAAAGCAATTGACTTCTGGGTAGAAATATGATATATACTAATCCCAGTCTTTTAGGAGCCGCAACAAGGACCGATCTGCCAAAGATTTGAGGACATGATCCATATCATGCTCGAATTTTTTACGCCCAGTGTTTTAGGAGCCGCAACAACGTTCAAGGACTTCCAAGGATTTGAGGACATGATCCATATCAATCTTGAATTTTTTACGCCCGAATTTTTCAGGTTCGAGGCACCTTATCGCTATAGCAGCTACACGCCATATTCCTTGAGCTATAACATCATTCAACATTAATGTAGGGTCTGGTTGGAGGTACACTCTCAGATCATCAGCTAGACTCCCGTCATTTAAACCATCCATCACATTTAATATATGGTATTCAATTTCTGGTTTACACATCCGAATACCATCTAGTTTCTTTTGCAACCAATACTCGAGAGCGGAACCTGTGAGTTCACTGGCACCCAGTTCGCCTGTCACCAGCTCAAGCAAGATCAACCCAAAGCAATAAATATCACCAGCAAATCTTTCTTTAGGTGTATCTGGCAAGTTACAACACAAACAAAAGAAACAAATAATGAGTTTAACTTGAATTCTTGATTGAGTGGTTTTCATATGCTTGGGCTATGTTTGAAACACGATAGTAGATAGAGATAAACAATAAATTTGACAAAATGTTAAATTATTTCTCTTTTGTACTAGCGTCTAATATAATTAGGAGTACAATTTGCTTTTTAAGCTTCCCAGAAGCTAAGGAATTAAACAAACTAGCGAATAAAACTTTATATTGGCTTATACAGGCTGAGAAATGCTTGTCAAATTAAACAATTACCAGATAAAAGTATTTCCTTATCTTCGAGACCAAATTTTTATTAGTATTCTTAAGCAGTACTTATTACTTTATTGAAGTAATCTCTGACCTCAGCAGAAGTAAACCTGATGACATGTATCCATCAGTTAATAAATATTTAAAACAAGCAGTATTATCCCATTCATATTCGACACCAAAGCTAATGAAAATGAGTAGAATCATGAACCTTTTGAGTGGCTAAACAAATTTTGGTAAGGCGTCGAATGATCACAATTGTCATTGGACAAATGCATTATAGCCTCCATTTCGGAAGAATTTATAAATAGATAGAAACGAGCGGTGGATAAGTGGATTCGTTGGAATGTGTGATTGAAAATGATGATTGCCTATTTCTCAATGATTTATAAATTTTGTCAAACGGAGGCATAATAGGCAAGAAAATTCAACAATTGACCTGAAACATCGCTTACTGCTAACAAAACTGTCTAATATGTAGAAGTAATGATGAATGTGGAACTATAATATAGAAACAAAAGAAAAGGTGCATACCTAAAGTGTCTTCTGCAGTGTTCCTGCATAGGAGGAGGAAAATTTTGTCATAATCCACTTATTATTGAAGGATGACAATCAGCAATTTACCACAGTATTTACTATTGTTATTTTATACAAATATTCTTTGCATTATAGAAATTCTATGTTTTATCTGGACCGTAGTGTAAAAGCTAGATTAGATTCGACTATGGCTCCTTGATACTCTCTTTTATCCATCATCTTGTAAGCAGCTCAGTTCTTCTTATAATATATTCATTACAAAAGCTCCTTCCCCAAAAGTTCCCTGTTGGTATTTTAACTCTGATCACATTGTGAATGGACAAGTTATAACTGTGTTATAATTTCTTTGTTAGTAGACTAAAACAAGGTCAGAGTTCCAAGGTTATAAACTACCTAATGTCTGATTATCTATGATAAATGCAATGTCAACTCATAGTAAACTCACTGGTAATTGTGAAAGATAAATAGCCCTTATAATGGGAGATCTACTCTTGGCAGTTGCATTTACCTGATAATCCCACACAGAGTACCAATGTTCTTTACATGATCATAGCCCTGAGTTAGTCTCTTTATCTGCTCTTCCCAATTGCCATCAAGAAATACGCTGCTTGTTTGTACATCTCTATAAGAATTAAGAAATTCAAATAGTTAAAAACCATTTGAGTAAGGATTTTCAATGGAATCAATTGCATAGATAGATGTAAAAAATTTAAATTCCACATCAGAGCACTTCGAGTTAAATGTTTCATTAGTCACTGAACTTATACCTCTGTCGCACTCGCTAAACTTTAAAATACATAATTATCAACCTTTAAAAAATACACTTTCAAACTTGACAAATTTGTGGAATTCTTTAAAAAATCAGGTTGTATTAATTAATTAGTTAATTAAATAGGCTAAAGTCACGCTAACATATAATTTATGATCACAATTACGTACTAATCACAAATCACATAATGTCACAATCACGAAGACAAAAATGTGGGTCACAATTGTCAATTTAGCTCCAAATAACACAATTTTATAGGTTACAACATATTTATCAATCACAAATTATCAAATTAATTGGTCACGGCCTATCTATCAGTCACAAATTATCATATTAATGATTGCAACTTATTTATCGACTACAAATTATCATATTAGCGCGCGGCGTTGAGAGGTAGATGCAAGGAAAGTGGCAAGTCGATTTGGGACGGGACGAATGGTCTGTGGATGGTGTTAATACGTGTTGGAGGTGGTACCTTCCGACTAGAGGCGGAAGGTAGCAGAGCAGTTGCTGTAGGGTTTGGAGGAGAAAATGACTATGGAAAAGATGGAGAGGAACTTCAGCAACTGGCTTTTGTGGCTTTGGAGGTTTTTTGGCTTTATGGGTAAAGTATTGCGCCTGGGTGGGATGTGGGACACGTGAGATGGGGATGGTATGGGTGCACCTTATTTTTTAAAGATAAAACTTTGCACCTGGTCATGAAATAGAAAGATAAAATGTAGGTTTAAGTGTAATTTCCTCTAATCCAAATCCTAGAAAAGTTATGGACCATATATCAAGCTACAAAATTATAAACAAAGGAACAATACATATATCAGGCGTTTACGATACACCATTTCAAGTTTAAAAAACAAGTTTCAAACATTCAAAAGTAGGTGATAATATATATATATATATATATGGCCCAGAAATTCAAAGTAGATTGTAAAGATAGAAAAATAACTGAATTCAAACAATCATTCAAATGTTGAAGAAAATCTTTGAAACGAAAAGAACTTTTGTTGATATTGAAATGAAAAATTACAAGGAATTTTGAACTTATAAAGAGAAGTTTATCTCTCATCTAAACTCTGCCTACATTGAACGAAAACCATTGAATTTATACATTAAAAAAGTAAAATTGAAGTAATCTTGAATAGTACATTGGGGCCCCTGATAAAAGAAAAAGTCGACTACTTTCAAAAAGTAGGAACATCCTCCATTATCTTCACCGAAAGTTTGATTGGACAAAAGTAACTTTAATAAAGAAGATGCTTTCTTTATTATTTGTCAAAGTCTTTTATCGACAAAGATCCACTTTTGAGCTGGCAAATCTTGAATTATAAACTCGGTAATCTCTTAATTCATCAAGATAACGTCATTCATGTAGTCATTTGGTTTTTGAATTTCTTCATAAAGAGACTCTTCAAAGTCAATTCCAAAACAGTCATCTTCATTTTGATTGAAATCGAAATCCGCTTCTGAACTGTTTACAGAAGAATCTTGAACTGAAGATTTTGAAGCAATTTCTACAAGTGAAGCGAGTTTTTCTGCAAGAATTTCCATGTCTTCAGGATTTGAACATTTGGCAAGAAGAGCTAATGACCTATTTTTCTCAGTAAGGAAATCAGCTTGAGCTTCTTGATGTTTCTTTGAATTTTTGGGAAGTCCTTCATTAGTCTTAAGCTCTATGTTGCTCGGACTCGGGTACGGGTACGTATCTATGTATCGGATCTTTTATTTTCTAAAATGTAGGATACATGGACATGGCTAAAAAGAGTCCAAATTTCGGGCACGGGTACGTGGGTACGTCTTTCAAACTTCAATTTTTTTACTAATCCAGGATGTCATTTTGAATTGACCAAAATTAATTATTTACAATGAATAAAATGAGTATTTAATAAGGGGTTAAGACAAATGTTTGGGGTTTAGTTTTCAATAATGAAAATTACTAAATATTATATAAAATAGAAAATGAAGAACTCGATTGTAATTTGAAATCAGTGGAGCACTAAGTAGCTCTATATGGAACCCATTTTCATATTATACAAACAAAATCATAAACCATCGATATAGAGAGAAATAAGAAAAAAAGAAGAAAATGGAAAGAAGGAAAAAAGAAGAAGAAAAAGAAGGAAAAACCTAGTATCGCCATCTTCTCCACCCCCTTGATGACCACGCTAGGTTTATAGAGAGCAAAAGTGGGAAAGAAGAAAAGGAAAAGAAAAAAAAAGAAGCAAAAACGAGGAAGTGTCCGGTTGAAACTTGGAGGATCCGACACATATCTCATACCGATACCCATGTCGTGTCGTATCAGACACGGGTACTCCAACTATTTCGAAGAGTTCGAGCATCAGAGCTTAAGCTGTATCCAGGAACTTACAGCCTTGGGACAACAATTCGTTTCATGAAACTTGGACCACCATTTTATTTTGAAGTTTCTAACGATCCTTTTTGGACAATAAGGATTTTCGGTATTTTGAAACACAAAAAAGTCCCAAAAGAGAATTCATGAGACTTTGAAATTGTATGCAAATTGAAAAAGAGTATTTTCAATTTTAGACAGTAAGGATTGTCGGTATTTTGAAATACCAATAAGTCCCAGCAGATGATCCATGAGACTTTGAATTTGAATGCAAATTGAAAAAGAGTATTTTCTTGAGGCTGTAAAAACGTTTTTGCCTCATTTTTGAAGTGGTTGAATCCTTGTAGAAAAAGACTAGGTAAAATGTTCTCTTCAAGTCCAAAATATTCAAACCAATTTTGAAACCATTTTGGAAATATATTTTGACATGCTTGGTGGAAAAGAATAAACCAGGAATGATCAACTGGTCTAATGAAGAAAACATTGAACCAAGCTTCTTGGTAGTCAAGATAATTGAAATGAGAAGAAAAGTCTTCACCTTTTAAGAGGTTCATTTTCTTTTCTTTCCAAGGGTGTTGACTCCAGTCATCAAATGTCAACACTTTTCAAATTGAGATTTTTGAAAAGTCGATATGTTGAGGATGTCGTTTGTTTGTAGTGTGAGTAATAACAGCAGATCCAGTTTTGATCAAGATCTTTTCATAAAACTCACGGGGTTTTTGAAGGTTATTTGGAAGGAAAAAAAAAGATGGGGGAAAAAGATCAAAAAGACATTCAGTAAGATCTGAATATTTTTCAATCCAAGGTGTTTCAATATTAAAAAGAGTAAGGAACTTTTTTTTGACAAAATATTGAAATGACTTTAGATTGATTTCTGGGAGTTTTCCAGAACCAACTTGAACAGCCTTTTTGTAATTTAAAGGTTTTTCTGGAGCTTTTCCAAGAATGAAAAATTTATTTAATGCAAGAGAGAGGGTATCTGAAGATGAGTATTTTGAATCAAGAGTATTTTTGTTGGAATTTTGAATATATTCTGTAATTGATGGGGAAGGAAGAGCAATTTTGTTTTGTTTTTGCTCGTTTTTTGAAGAATTTCCAGTAGAGGAAGCCATGTCCTCAAGAACTTTGTTGTACCAATCTATGTTGGCACCTTTTCCCTTTTTCTCTCATTTGGGGTGTTCTTACTTTCACTTGGAATTGCTCTCTTTTTTGTAAGAAACTCTCTGGTGAGAAAGTCTGCAAGAACGTTATTCTTTCCTTGTATATAAAGAATTTTGAAATCAAAACAAAATAAAATAGCTTGCCATCTTGCAAAGGTAGACAAAAGTGCTATCTATGAAATAGGAAAGTTTGATTTTACTCAAAATTATGTTATCAAGACTTTTGAACAAACTTTTGCAATCAAAAATCAAAATACAGAGATTACTTTACTTTCAAAAGAATCTATTCAAGAACATAGAAAGAAATTTCAATTTTTGCATTTTGGTCTTGTTCAAATTGCTATTAAACCACTTTTTAGACTTGGTTTAAATATTCCAGTTCTTTTAACTCTTCGAGATAAAAGACACAATCAATTTGAAAATTCCTTACTGTTCTAGAATCAAATCTAGAAGGAGGTCCCATATTTTCAAATTGCTATCCAAATTTTACAGTTAGTCTTTTTGATGAAGATATTCTCAAAACTCTTAATCTTCAAATTCAAACTAAAATTCTTGATTTTAGCGATAAATTAAGAGCTTTTATTGTTATCTTTAGAATTTATTACAAACTTTTGAATACGAATCTCAATATTCGAGCGCTTCACTCATCTCCTCGTGATGAATCACTTCTTATGGAAGTAAATTCTCTTCATTCAAATACCATGGTTCCAAAGAGAATTCCTTGGAATCTTCAATCTAGAAGCATGGAATGGGATATTCTTAATGCTAATAGAATTGCTCTTTCTCAAACTAATGATACTCCAAATCAAATCCTTTCTTTTCCTGACGGAAGTGTTAGGATGAGTTTTAGTTCACTATCATCTTTTAACTTTTTCAAGATAACTAAATCTGTTTCTTCCAGATCTACTTCTAGACCTAGACATAGATCTAAATCTGAAATTCCTTTTCAAACAAGAAGATTTTCAACCTCTAATGACAAACTTAGAGATGTTGATTTTGGTCCTACAATTCCAAAACCTCAATATTCAGATGACAAAGAAAAATCTAAAGAATATGCTGAACCAGATTCTCCAACTCCATCTGATATGCTTCCCCCTCCTACTGAAAGATTGTCAAAACAATTGAGTGTTATTTCTTCAAGTTTTGATAAAAAGAAAGAATTTCAAAATGATCAAACTCCTGCTGTTAAAGCAATTAGGGTCCGTTTGATAGTAAGGGTGGAAAATAGGTGGAAAGAAAATGTTTTACAGGGGAAATATTTTCCTAGAAATTGTTTTCCAGGGAATTGTTAATTAAGTGTGTTTAATTGGTATAATTTTCCACGCGGAAAATTTTTAAATTTTGTGTTC